AAGCCTATCCTCAACAGATGCGCAAGTGGCAGAGCCAGACGATGAGTACGTGGAAGTGGATCGAGCAGGATGCGCCCATGGATGCAACCGAGGGCGAAGTGCCCCAGCCAAGGACTCCGCCGGCTACGCACATGACGGTGGAGGACGCTGCTGCCAATGTCCCCGAGCCGGAGAACCCCTTCGTGATGACGGGGCCATCCATCTTCCCGTGTCCTACCTGCCAGGCAGAGTGTTTTGTGGGGCAGCATCATTGCATTCGCTGCCGCCACCGCCTCTCAGACTCAAAGGGAGAAGACCGACGCTTTATTCAAGCAGCCCACCGCCGCAATCGCATCTTAGACAGATTAGCAACTGTCGGCGTGTCGGTCCACAACATCAGTCCCTATGAGCTGCAAAAGCTGGCGAGGCACACAAAGGAGGAGGAACGCGGACAGATGAGTTATGAGGCTCATACTATTCGCAAAGCCAAGGACAAAGTACAGCGGGCACTCAAAATCAAGGGCACGAACTTCCGAAGCCTGGCAGATCGGTTCGACAATGACCCAACTTTCGCAGCCAGACAGGCCGAGAACGGATTGACGCGAGCAGACATGCGTCGTCTTCAAGTGTACGCCACCGGCTACTTGCCCGCACCTGGTCGTACCCGCCAACAGGTCATCCTCGGAGCTGGCAGTCATGCTGATTTCCAAGCCTCTCGTTCGGAAGTCAACGCAAAGCTTGTCATTTACGACGGCATTGCCCTCGAGGAGTTGAAAGCCCTGAATTTGGCGGATGATGACATGACCGTCAACATGGGTGTGGGCTGGCACGGCACCTTTATGGATGTGTCCACATTTGCCGGTTTGGCCCTCGGCAACGAGGATGCCCGCAAGGTGCTGACCTTCCAAGGCTTGGTCAGCTTGCAGGCCGCCAACCTCGATAACCTGAAGACCGAGATCCGTGATCTGATCTTGGCTAATCATGCCCCAGCTCAGGCCAAGGTCCGAAGCGATCAACCGGCCCGTGCACGCCAATCCGAGATTTCAAAAGCCAAATCAAAGGCTGCTCCCGCTGCTCCCAGCCAGCGCTGGACGGATGCAGACTGGGAGCGATGGCAGTATGGAGGCTACTACGGCCGCAACTGGTATTCGGCCGCTGAATGGCGCCGATACTGGGGCCAGTGATTTCACAGCGTGATGCAGTCCAGGACCATGTAGAAAGATGTCCGCTAACTACACTCGCCAACAAAGCACAACTGAAGCTACCCGCAAGGGTATGCCTGTTTCTTTTGCGTGCTGTTGTGTGCGCCTTAGTGCTCACGCACACGGCGAGGGGGGTGTTTTTGCACTCCGGGTAGTTTAGCTACTTTTGAGGCTACTTATGTAAGCTAAGAGCCTACTTGTTGCGGTCCTCACTTTCCATGCTTGTTGATTGAACGCTTTGAGTTTGCCTTCACAGTCGCCGTGAAAAGGTTCGACTTACCGGTAGTTGTTGTCTTCACTTGAGTGCTGAACCTGTAACAACAAGGGTGCAGGCAAACACCTCCAGAGTTACAACACCCACTGGATGAACATGATCCAGGATTTATCATAGAAGGCGCGATGTCCAGTTGCCCCGGGCACTTGTCCGGCTGTTGTACAAGTCTTTTCGAGTTTCTTTTCAGCTTGTCTGTTGGCAAGCTTGTATTGCACGATGAAGAAAGCCTAAAAGCAACATGATCACAATGTTATGACAATTTCAAATATGCCTGGACAGTATCGACAACAGCCAACATGTAGAACAGGCGACGGATAGAGGAAGAATATATTTGTAGCACGAGCATTTCTAGGAGGAGGAGCAGGAGGAGCGGGCGGTGGAGGAGGAGTCGAAGTAGAAGTAGAAGCAGAAGCAGCAGCAACAGTGGCAGAAGTTTCGGGTGGAGTACTCATGAGAGCAGGGCCCGAGACTGTCGTCTGTTGGGAAGGCATAAGGAGTCAGGGCATCCTGTTCTTGTTACTGTTCATGTCTCCATGTAATTTGAGGTGGAGGTATTGCTGTGGTTTTGGTGAGTGTATATAGGGTTCGTAAGAAATATTTACGAGTGTATACATTCTGTGTCCAAGTTGGGGACCAGCCATAAATAAACATCCTACCATATTATGTATCGGAGCTTCACTATAACAAGAGCTCACTGCCAGCTTTTGCAGTTGTTCCCTTCTTTGCCAGTCGTACTGCCTAGAAAGAAGATCAACATGAGCTACCGCATAGCTAAACCGAAGCCAGGCAACCGCAGTCATAGCGGCAGCACGTAGTCGTAGAGCCTAACCTTGTTTACGGTGGCTTAATTTAAGCTTTGATTTAGTTTTGTTTCGGCTGTGTATACGGCATAGGCTTGTAGCGCTTCTCCACATGAAGGCCAAAGCCGCAGGAGCGCCAAATGTTTACACGATTGTTGTAACATTGTAACTGTCAACATGGTCCCTGCTTGAGGACATCGCATGCGATGCAGACTGCCTTCGGCTCTTCTCAGACTCGGCAACCACCGGGCCTGTGCTGCTGCTAGACACCTTGGCTAGGCCGTCGGGGGCTGAGCTTGAGAGTCCCAATAGCCAGCAGCTGTTTTGTGTTGAAACCGGTATGCCCTTTTCGAATGATTTGTGTGTAGAGAGACGAATCATGAAGGTCAGTTCCAACTTCAGCCGCGGCCGTCATTCTCTCACGAGTGCTGTCTTCCTGGAATTTGGAGGGTGATGCAGCCGCGACGATCTACGAGGGCTTCCTCCGGAATCGCTCGGGTGCTTCGTTCTCAAACCTGCTATGGTAATATGCTCAGAGAAAGGAGTGCTTTGGAGCAGCCAGTAATAAGCAGGCTTGCGATCCTTCGTGGCGCTTCAAGACGCAAGTGGCCATGACCGAGCAGACCTTGCGGTGCCTGAGATCCGCGCAGCGTTTGCATTTGCTGCGAAGAAATCCCTCGACGACATAGGCAGGCACTTCAAAACCAAGAGGGCATACACTTCACATGTACAGAGAGGTCTCCTGGGTGACGTGGGTGACAGCTGCGAGAGCCAGAAGCTACTCTTCCGCTTCCTCTTCAGGTAGGCACTTTGTGGGCTCTACATGTTCCTCGGACTTTTCAAGCATATTTTGCCTTGCGTGAGGCCAACCGGAGGCTCTGATGCATTGCCGAAACAATCTCGAGGTTCGAGCGTGCAACACTGAATAGGCTTGTTTCTGGCAGGCCTTCCTGGTGTGCGCTTCCCGATTAGGCCTGTGGAGAAGTGGGAGTTCTGGCTCAGGGCTTCCCAAGACCTCTGATGAGGCTGCTCATGCAACTTCCACGCGAGGGTCACACTGAGCTCATTGCGCATCGTGTGTTGGAGGCAGCCGGAGGGTTTGCCTGTTGAACCGGTTTCTCCATAGTCTCCAAGCTCAGCGGCGCAGCTTGAGACGTGAGTTTTGGCTATGAAATTGTCTCAGAGGAACTGCGACTATGTGGCGGCAACTTGGCTTGCCTGACAGCTGCATCTATATGGCGCAGCTATGCTTGCATGAGATCGTTCGATCGTGACACAGCAGCTCTTGCTTAGATTGCCCTGTTTACAGTAAGCAGCCCTGTCCCAGTTCCAGCGTTCCGTTGGACATGGCAACATGTGGTTCACTTGTGGTTCTCTGAGGTGATCTCCACACGGATCGGTGGTTGACGGCCCAGGCGGTTTGGGAGCTGGTGGCCTGGCAGGAGGTGAGCGATGAAAAGGTCGAGTCGGCAGTGGCATTGCTTCGCGATTGGCTGGTGCAGGGTGCACAGGGCGACCGCCGGGATGGAGCCTCCCTTCCGCAGACGGGTTTCTCTACGAGTGTCGTGTAGCGAGAGGCCTGGTTGGAGGCCCCCACCACTTCCGTAATGGAGCCAGACCTGCTCCTCTTAGCCTTTTCATGTCATCTATGCATTTCATGTGCAAGATTGCAGTCATTTGGCAGAAAGAGGCTACCTAACTTAGGTTGCTGTCGAGTTGCTTGCTCCTCAGTTGCTGTCCGATCCCTTTCCCTTGTGTGGCTGCTTGCTTTGCACAATTTTGCACATTTCCTTGAGCGATGGTCGCTTCAAGTTTGAAAGCTTCTGCGGCAGCTGGCCAAGACAGTTTGGATGCTCTTACTGCAGCAATGAAGCTGGGACGCAGAGGGTTGCTGCGAGCAAAGTGACCGCACACAGATTGCAAAGTCCTAGGTCTCATAGAGAAGAAGGACCTTTCCGATCCGTGTTGCAGAATGTTGCAGAATTGTTTGGTTACCCTTTTAGGCTTGGAGCGCTGCCACTGCTCCGGCTTTCCGCTCCACAGGAGCTGCTGGCGCCACCGGTGGCTTGGTCAGAGATCCATTGGTTTCAAAGAAGACTGACAACTTGCTTCCTGTAAATCCTTGCAATGGCTGAGAGACCAACCACCGCCTTTCGTCCGTTTCATTGCCGCGCTTCCGACCAGCCAGCCCATGCTTTGTCAGACTTCAGCACTGCCGTAACGCTGTAAGGTTCCTGCGCATGCCCTGGCCATCCTGAACCTGCAAAAGATTCAGAAAGTTCAGGAGCGGATGGCGGAGCTGGAGGCCGAGAAGCTCGGTTGGAAGGATACGCTAAGCCGCTAAGCGCAGAGCAAACCACGCAGAGCTTTCACCTCGGGCAAAGGCCAGAGCAGTGGGATGCAGTGGCATGCAGTGGGTGCTGTGCAGTGGCCTTTCGCAGCTCAGGAACCGTCAGTTGCGCATGGAGCTTCGTCGCGTTCGAAGCGGTCAAGACACAAGCGGCTGATATCCGGTTCAGGGTGCACGCCAGCTGCGCAAGCTCCGCAGCTCACTCCAGCACTTCCCCATGGAAAAGTCTTCTGCTTCATGCTGCGCTACCTAGCTGTGGAGAGTCGAAGGAAGATGACCTTGCTGGCCTGACCTGTCAGCAGCTCCAAAGCAAGCCAAGCTCGGTACGGCTCAATCTCAGCGACGATTCACAGGCTCTGCAGTCCACGAACACTTGCCATGATTGGCGTCTAGCTTCGGGGTCGACCTCGCTGCAGAAAAGATGCAGAGCCCCCGAGTGCATCAAGTGTCACTTCCACATGCCTGTGCTATCTTTCCTGCTCCTCACGCTTGCGGCTCAATCTTTTGCCTTCACTTGAGGGTAGAAAGGCCCAGGCGGGACCGCTATCATCCAAGACTCGTGGTTGTGTTTCGTTCCTTCATTAAATAAGCATAATGAATAAAGTGAATTTCGCGAGCTTCATCCACTTATTGTCTCGCTTATTTATTTTTACCCTCTTCACATAATGAAAATAAGTGAACAAATAAATGAACAAGTGAGAGAAAGGAACGCACAAACAAATCAAATTCTCTCGCCCATGAATGATTCACCCTTACAAGACACTTTTTACCCACGACACAGTGTCCAACAGGTAGAAGAGTGATCTTGAAAGTGACTCCAAAAACATCTTCCAACATCTTCAAAAGCAGTGCTTCGCCAGGAGCTGTGGAGCTGTAAGCATGGGGACCGGGGGGGGCGGGGAGCCACAGCAGGCGCGGAGCTCTGCGAGGCGCGAAGCCTGCGGAGAAGTCTTTTTAAAACGAAAGTCTCTCCAAAGCGAGAAGGTTTGCTGTTTGCACCCTTCTTCTTTTTCATGGTGCTTCTTGTGGTTCTTCTGCTTTTTGTTGTCAATCTTCTCCTGTCGAGGCTGTAAATGAAAGCCAGAAATTCTGCGCCGCAGCTTTGTCTTCTGGGTCAGTGCGGTAGCAGCAGGGATCCATGCTTTGGAGCTTTTGGTTGTGGCAGCACAGCTGGCTATAGGGAGGCATCTACCGATCGCGTGTTTCCGGGTCTCGGCGCAGATGGTGAGAGTTCCTTTCGTTCTTAGACTTCCTTTCTTTCGGTAAGCGCATTCGCCTACAGGGCCTACAGGTTATCATACTTTGTTTGCCTGATTGGACCGGCAGTCGGGCCAGGTCTCTGGACCAGTCCGTTTGGATTCTTTGGAGAGCTCCCAGTACCCCTCCTTCCATACTGGAATCGTGCTTGAGGCACCTTACATCTCAGCAAGTAACTTCCATGTGGATGCCTGCCACCATAGCCAGGAAGCGGAAGTCCAGCAGACAAATCACAAAAAGCAACGCAACTGCTTAGCCAGAATGAAAACCTGTGGAGAGTTGAGGTGGGTGCGACTTGCAAGTAAAAAATCAATGGCTGGTGTTATGGGGCAGGGCCAGTAGCCGGATTCCTGACAATTCCTGCAAGTAGAGAGCCCGCAAGGGTCTGCTGAAGTACCCCTGTCTACTAGTCAGCTATTTCTGTGCACTTGCCTGCCGCATTCGCAAGAGGATGAACCGGAAGGATAGAGGAAGGGAGTAGACAGATGTGGCCAGCCCGACCACCCGTACCTGTAATTGTGCCAGGCATGGAAATCAACGTCTTACTGGGAAAGGTTTCGCCCAAGGAGGCCGGAATCGCTGATGGACAAGGGCGATGCGCATTTAACGGGCTTCTGTCGTCCTGTGCAGCTTGGCGCCGGCGTGGACTATTACAAGATCGTGCACAATGCTTACACTAGCCAATACCTGCAGAATTTGGGAATCGAGCCGCTGGAGCAGCACCGCAAGGCGCTTCCACAAAACTGCAAGACGTGCAAGATGCGAGATGTTGTGCAGGTTGTTGCGCGCAAGTGTGCGCTCACAGACTGCCAGATTGAGGTGGGGTAGCATGGGGTAGCCTTCAGAGAGCTCAAGCCTTTGCAAGTGTCTAAGGCCACCTGGGCGGATGGCTCCGTAGTCGCAGAGCAACTCCGTATTGCCATGGGCTTGTCCTCTTTTTGCTTTTCTTGGCTTGTCTTTTTGTTTTCATCCTGACCCAGGTCCCGCCCGGAGCACGGGCACGTGGCGGGCGAGGTGCAGAACTTGCAGAGCAACAAGAGCAACTCAGCTGTTACACAGAAGCGGGAACCTTGAGGTGCCTGGGAGAAGAACTTCGAGGCGACATGAGATTTTTCTTGGCTGGGAGGCAGCGCTTTTGTCAACCTGCCAGGCTGGACTTCCTGGGCAGGCAGGGTTTACCTAAATGGGAGTCAAAAGAATCAAGAAAAGGAACGGTGACAGGTCTCCGAACCTTTGATGAATGCGCTGCCGCCGGACACTGCAGGCATCTACGAGAAGGCGAAGAAGGCTCCTGGCTGGCGGATGTGCTGTCAGAACTGCTCATATGAAACGTATGAAGGGCACTGGGAGCTTCTTGGCCCAGAAGAAGTACACACAGGAGGACCACCTCTAGCCCGGGCGCACTAAGCAGAGGCCGAATGTCGCCGTTGCAGGAACGCTTCTTACTTGCCTTTTCAGAAATGCCAGGGCCTGAGCAAATTTTTCAACATTGAACAACACCTGGATGCGCAGCGTGGATTTAAGGACTGTCCGAGACCAAGAGAACTCACATGGTGCTGATTGCAGCTTGACAGAGGACAGAGCTTTCGGGGCTAAGTGCGGCTAACCATGAAGCTCGGAGAGTGCCAGGATTTGGAGACTTTGCAAAGCCAGGCGCGAGGAGAGGAAGGCTCGTGTAAGGAGCCATGTGGACATCCTGGATTTGTTGTACGGCTTCTTGGGCCAGGTCCGGTCCACAAGCGTGAGGCTGCAGAGAGTGTTCACGTTGAGAGGATTCTCTGCATGAAGCATATGCATGGCATATGCATATTCCACAGCCAGGTGCTGAGACAGTGGGGTAAGGAGGGCTTCGAGGAGTTGGAGCTGCTGAAGAGGAGAGGAACCACTTCGAATAGGAGCAGTCTTCGAACACATCTTTGGTACCACCCTCAACCACACCCCCAAAAAACTACATTTTGATTTCCTTTCCCGTCTCAGGTATTTCATCGGGATGAGACTCATCCACAAATCCTCAATTTAACTTGCATTTACCACCCAAAGCCGACACGTCTAATTTGCTCCCCCCAAATCTACATGTTTTATATGTTGTGTAGCACATGCGGGCATGTGAGGATTAACATGTTTCCGACGGACTGAAGCTTTCGGCTCCATCGGCTTTTCGTTTCTTGCCTTCCTTCCCGCCTCGTCGCCCGTCGTCATGGCGTCTACTTCGGTCTCCTTGACGCCTTCCTCCATCGACACCCACTTCGGCATCTACCGTGGTCCGGCGCCGCAAGGGAACGAAGCTCGACATGGCTTCCTCCTCGGCGGTCGCTTCCTGGCTTGGCACGGCGGTCTCGCCGGCGGATCTTTCGGCGGAGCTCACCGCAATCCATGAGGGTGAGCGTTCGCCAGCAGCAACAACCATCGCCAACAACGAGGTGGTGACTTTCGGCGCTATGCAGGCGCCATTGGGCAACCCGCCGGCCGTGGTGGTCGATTTCAGCGGCGACATTGGCCCGGACCTTGGTGGACCCGATGGCAGCGGCGCTGACACTGGCGGCCACAGCGGCGCTGCAGGCGGGTACAGCGGCGCTGGCGGCACTACCTCGGCGTCTACTGCCCCTACTTCGTCCGCTACGGCATTCCTGGCGGCTGGTGGTGGAGATGATGGCCCGACCTCGGCGACAACGCCACCTCCGGCGGTGTCCAAGACGGTCGGATTCCTGGTGGCTGGCGGTGTAGATGATGGCCTGACCTCGGCGCCTACTACATCCACGACGCGACGGTGTCTAAGCCCGCCGGCCTGCCACCGCATCCTTCGACGCAGCCAAAGGCCAAGGCGCCACCCCCGCCGTTCAGGGGGGACAACATCGACGCCTCCTCGGCCTCGGCGCCGTACAGACCGGCGGAGGTGATGGTCAAGCGCCCGCCGGCGGAGTTGGCGCCGCTCCCAAAACCGGAGCCACATGAACAGGTCGACGACTACACAGAGCGGTCGGCGACCATGGTGGCGGAGCGGAGCAGCCTCGCCGACATCCAGATTGCGGCGGAGATGGACACCGCGAGCAGGCCAGGGCAAGGCCGACGACCCGGCCGCATCGACACCATCTTCGGCTCACTGGCCCGGCGGCGGCTGCTGGTTCGGCATCCTCGTCATCTTCGGCGCCCCCCTCAGCGACTACCTCGACGGCGTGGCAGATCCCGCCGCCGCTGCAGGTGGTCCACTTGGAATCCTGGTTTTGTTATAAATGGTTAACATAGTTATGT